CCTTCAGGTCTACAGATGTGAACCATTCCCCTTGGGAAACACTTCGCAGAACTTCTGCCATGGTCAACGTATGGAAAGGCAGAATTTTCATGAATTTGTTCAATCCCCTTAGGTCCATGACTGGACGGAATCCGCTGGTCTTCTTTGTAGCGAGGAAGTATGTTGAATAGAATCCCCTGGGGTGCAACAGAGGATCTACAGCCTCGATGATGCCCTTGGCCAGGAGGGCGGACAACTCCTAGTCCAGCGCTAGAACTTTTCCCGGGTCTCTGATAATGGTCACTTTGACCCAGCCAGAGGTTGGGGGCCGGCATCGGAATTGAAGCTTGTACCTGTGGGTCAAGGTGGCAACCACCCAGGGGTCCGAAGTGTGAGCAGCCCAGTATCTGAGCTGCTGGTGGGAGAAACAACCGACAGCCGGCCCAGAGGCCTCAGTTCCTGGCCCCCCAGCCTTGAGGGGCCCTGGAGGGGCGGAAGGGATCTGGGGCCCGAGGTTGCTTGGAGGGTAAGTGGGCAGAGCGACAAAAGTCACGGGTCAGCCTCTGAACAGGACACTGAGGACCACGACGGTCGCTGGAGAGAGTTGTTGGTGGTAAGCGGAGTCGGGGGGCAATTGAGGGGGCCCCCGACCTGTTGGAGGGAGGTCTACTAGGGGGAGGCATACGTCTCCGCAGACCCAGGAGCTTCTGCCTGGTCTGTGCAGCTTGGACAGTTCGTTCCAGCGCTTCCAGCGCAGCTGACCCAAATAGCTCCCCTGGTTCCACTGGGAGGCTACGGAGAGTCCGCCTACTTGCCTTCATCAGATTCACCTGCGCAAGCCACACTTGGCGGCGAGTCTGGACCAAGATGGACGTCATCCTCCCGAGTTCTCTAGTCATGAAGCCAAATGCATACAACGATGCATCACTGAGGCTTCTGGCGGCAACATCCACACTGTCTTCCTGGGGGTTTCCAGAGACCTCAGGACTGGATCATCAGCCGCTTTACGTTCCCGAGGGCAATTCGCTTAGAAATGTGCACGGAGCTGCGGCCATTATTGGAGCGCAACACGGCCAGGAGCCATGTCCTACCTGTGCCCATACAGGTGCTGACCACACTGGGCTTCCTGGCCACAGGGTCATTTCAGAGGGAGCTGGCCGACCGACCGGGACTGTGCCAGTCGACAGTGAGCAGATGCCATGTCAGCCGTGTGGGATGGAACTATCCGAATGTCAGCCAGATATATCAAATTCCCATACACTGCAGTTGAACAGGACGACATGAAAGTGTAATTTGTAGCGATGGCCGGTTTTCCTGATGTAATCGGAGCTGTCGACTGCACACACATTGCTATAGAGGCATAATCACAAGATGCATTTGTTTATGTAAACAGGAGGCATTTTTTATTAAATCAATGTACAGATCATCTGTGATGCGCAAATACAATTAAGTAACATTGTTGCGAGGCAGCCTTGATCAAAACACATTCTGACCAACAGTATGGTTGAGAACAGGCTACAAGCTGGCACGGTGCGGGATGGGTGACGTCTTGGTGAGTAAGTCATTTAATTGTTCTAATATTAATTCCCCCGACATGCATTAATGTGCGCCCCAGACGGGCATTAGCAGCTGGCTGTTCCGGCGGATCAGCTGACACTGGAGGAATCCCACGGGTCTGTGATACGAGGCTGGGACTGCGTCTGTATCTTGTTTGGCTGCGAGCAGATTATTGTATGACCCGTATAGTGAATAAATGTGTGAGTTACACAATATATATTTACCTTGGGGTGATCTGAGTGACCTACGTGTGCTCCCACCACCCCTGTGACAGCAGTGTCACCCACAAGAGCGGCTACTCTCCGCTCAAACAGGATGAGTTCATCCTAGTTACTGTTATCTGATCTTGCAGAGAGGGGAATCCCACCTGTCGGCCCTGTTTATACTAATTTGCGTATTTAAATTGGGGGCGTGGAGAGGGAGGAGTCTGGTACTCCAACATGTGCGGTCAATTCCACGCTGAGTGAGATGTACAACGGAAATGTGCTTGGATTCCAGCGTACCCTCACTCTCGTTCATCTGGATTTTTTTGTGCATATGCAGTTTTCAGGATTGAAGCGTACGCCAGGTTTCAGTATGAAATCCACGCAAGTCTTTGTACATGAGGCCCCTGGGGCCTCATTTATCATCAGTGCATAGAAAAGGTTCTAAATTCTGTCATACGAATGAAATATAGAGTGTGCATAAGTACAAATATATCCGTATTTAGCAAACGTGCATACGGGGGTTGTATGTACATCAGTGTTGATAAATCCCACTTGTTCTTAACCTCCATGCTTGTGCACGTTGATTCAGAAATGCCTCCAAA